GTCATCTATCCTTGGCAGTGGGTGCTTATTTTTGATTGTTACCTTATTAAGCTGCCGATAGTCAATACACATACGTAGTGACCCATCTTTCTTTCTTACAAAAAGGATCGGTGTGCCCCAAGGCGACACACTTGGCCGGATAAAACCCTTTTCTAACAAATATCTCAATTGCTCCTTTATCTCTTTCAATTTTTCCGGTGCCATTCTGTAGGGTTGAATAGATATAGGATACGTGTCTGGCATCATATCAATCCCAAAATTAATCTCCCTGTCAGGTGGGATCCTAGGGAGTTCATCCGGAAATACTCCCAGAAATTCATTCACTACAGGCACGAACTCAAGTGTAGGTGCCTCAGCATCGATGTTCGTAACCCGGACCAAATGATAAATACATCCCTTGTTGATCATTTTCGTGGTCTTAAGGTAAGAAATAAACCTACTCTTCGGCACTACATCATCACCCTTCCACTCAATAACTGGCTCATTTGGAAATTCAAACTTAACAGTTCTGGTTCGCAATCAAACTTGGCAAAACAAGAGTAAAGCCAATCTATCCCCATTATCACATCAAAATCGACCATTCTCAATTTAATAAGATCGTCCACGGTGCCCCGACCACACAATGTGATAACAAAATCCCTATAAACCCGCGTGGCCAAAATAGACTCACCAACCGGAGTAGATATAGAGAACGGCTCATAAAGCTGTTCTGATTCTATCCCAAATTCCATAGCAACATAAGGTGTGACATATGACAAAGTGGAACCGGGATCAATAAGAGCATATACATCATGAGATTGGACAGTCAATATACCTGTGACAGCATCTGGAGAAGCCTCTAATTCCCGACGTCTCCGCATAGCATAAAATCTGCTGGGTCCTCCTGAATTCTGTGCACCACCCCTAGCTGCACCACGCCCCGTGGGTGCTGGGGTACCTCGAGTTGGAGGTGCTGTGGATGTAGTAGCTGCAGAATTAGCTGGTTGTGCCGCGCCTCTGCCCATATTTTTGCGGGACGAGCGTCAATCTCTCTGAATGTGGCCCCGCAAACCACACCCATAGCATACTGGTAGGTCCATGAAACAGGACCCAAAGTGCATCCTCCCACACTTAGGGCATGGGAGCCTCTGCTACTGAAACTTTCTATCAGGACGACCCTGCTGGTGGGGTCCCCTGTTGCCCTGACTGGGTCCAGATGACTGTGCACACATCGAAGAATGGGTGAATGATTGGGATGGTCCTGATGATGCTCCCCTGAATGCTGACCTACCACTACCATCACCGGAAGAACCACCAAAGTTTCCCGCAGACCGGGCTTTGCTGTTACTCTGATGCTCCATTCTATTCTTCAATTTGCGGGTCTCTGTGGCTTGAGCAAATGCCACCATCTTACCATAGTTCATATCGGAATTTAAGGCAGCTGTAGAGGCCTCATTGATAACCAAAGGGCTAAGGCCCTGTACAAACTGGTGCACTCTAGCCTCCATAGTGGGCAACATGTGAATAGCATACTTGGACAGGCACGCAAACTCCATATGGTACTCCCACACATTCATATTACCCTGCTTCAAGCTTTCAAACTCAGCGGCACGAGCTGCCTTAGTTTTGGCAGGCAAGAAATGATCCATAAAAGTATCTATGAACTCACCCCACCTTGCTGGAGGGCTTCCCTCCCCACAAGATTCCTCCCACAATTCAAACCAAGAGTAGGCCAACCCTTTAAGGCAGTAGGAGACAAATTTTACTCCCTCCATCTCTGTAGCATGCATAACTCGGAGAGTTTTGTGCATCTCGTCAATGAAGTCTTGGGGGTCCTCCTCGGGATCAGTACCTGTAAACACTGGAGGATCTAATTGAAGAAACTTGTTCACCCTAGAACTAGCAGATTCCCCTGGATGACTGAGAAGCCACTAACCGTGTCAATATTTGTATGGCTCCCCTAATATCAATATCAGATACCCCAGAATCGGAAGCTGGAGCTGGAGCTGGAACTGGAATATCAGTTAGAGGAACTGTCGCACCTTCTGTAGGTGTAGGGACAAGTGCAGTCTAATTTGTTGTAGTAGAGTCAGGCAGTGTAGTAACTGGAGGAATATTCTCACTCCTTGGGTGACATTTGCTATTTGGCCAGTTCTTGCCTTCTTCTAAGGTGCCATGTACGGAATATTAGAGCAACGCAGGAGTTAAAGGAGGAACAATCTTACAACCAGCTTTATCGCATGATTAAGAACATGAGAGAAGGGTATTATTCCTAAATGCCCATGTAGCATCCTAATTATAGAAGTGGTCAACAACATACCGATAATAAGGACTCTACTAGACATGACTCCAGGATATCTTAGGACACTTTAAAACCTTAGGCTCTGATACCAAGTTTGTCATGCCCAAAACCGAGGAGTGCGACCGGCGCTCAACCGAGTGAACCCGACCAAGCAAGCCTGTTAGATTCCTTCTACCCAAACTCATTCATGAATAAAGAAAATATATGTTTTCCTTAATTAAACAATAAAGTGGTCATGTCTGCAATTACCAATTCATTTCCAATTGTTTCATCATTTTTAAAGTCTCAAATGGACAGTAATACATCCACAACATAACATAGTTTGTCTTTCCCCAGCACCAATACACAACCCACACTATGTCTATGGAGCCTCTACAGATAAATAAGAGTACAATGATAATGCCGGCAATAAGGCCCCGGCTATACCTCAACCATAATACAAAAAGATCAAAGATACATGACCCCGGGATGAAGTGGAGCTCACCAAGTCAACTGGGATGAAGGTGTACTGCTATCACTGATCAATGTCTCCTGCTGTGGAACCACCTGCATCCATTTAAAGATGTAGCGCCCCCGGAAAAAGGGACGTTAGTCCGTCTAATAGTACAAGTAAGAAAAATAAACACCAATTTAAGAATTTAGAAATACAAGATAATTATGATGAACCAGTACGGCAATAGAATAATATAGATAACTGTCTCAACCATAGCAAGCTTATCAGAAGCTATCAACATTTATAGGATTTAAGATGAGATCATATGTAACCATATTCACACAAAGCATCCCCGCCGCCTCACCCGATGTATGCAGGTGGAGGTGTACGTTCAATACCACAACTCTAATCAAACGGCCCTGCCGCCTCACCCCAATGTATGCGGGTGGTGGTCCTACAACAATACCAACACTATAAACAAAGCGGTTGTACCACCACCTCACCCCAATGTAAGCTGGTGGAGGTGCAGTCGCATAATATCATAATCCCTACACAAAGCGGTCGTGCCGCCTCACCCCAATATATATACGGGTGGAGGTATATAACAATCACAATCTCTATACCATAATCCCAACATAGAGTGGTCATGCCGCCTCACCCCAATGTATGCGGGTGGAGGTATATCACAATCACAATCTCTATACCATAATCCCTACATAAAGCGGTCATGATGCCTCACCCCCAATGTATGCGGGTGGAGGTGTATCACAGTCACAATCTCTACACAACTTGTCATAATACCTTTCACATAAATCACGACTAGAAATTATAACATGTGGATACGTAATCCATAGTTTGGGATACATCCTCTATTTATAATGCAATATGATAAGAGAATTTGAAATATGAATTGGACATATATCTTCATCACAAAACTTATCGGAATACTCGATTTATAATCAACATCTCGGAACTCACAAGGATAATGAGAATTCCAAATTTTAAAGAAGAGTTTAGCCAATATACCTTGATGGAGCTCTTTAGTGCTAGTAAAACCACCTACTGCTCTTACAACTTCAATCTACATCAACATAATTCAATATGACCAATATTAGTAACAAATTCCATAATTTAGGCCATTTAGGCATTTTATCAAACACCTAGTAGGTATGAATCTCTACATCTCTTACCCATAGAATTAGTTCATCCAACTACTACCATTTACCAACAATTTATCCCACCATCATTCTTAAACAATTCATAACTTCCAACATCACGTACATGACCATCCATCCAAACCCAACCAACAAAATTTCATTAATTAATCACCTTTCAATCTCTACAATGGATATGTATTTAAATTGGGAACTTATGGATTCCAATCACCATACCATAAGTTCCAATACTTAATTCATGCTCATATTCCCATCATATATCCATACATGTAAGCCTAAGGGTGTAGGATTACCTTTTGGAAGAAATCTTGCAAAACCCTCCTTTGAGTTCTTGAAGAACTTTCTTGAAGATCTATATATTTTATGGAGGATTGAGTTAGTTTTAGGGTGGAATTGATGGAATGAAATATAAAATTAGTAGGGATTACTCACCTTGAATATGGGGGGAGTTGGTGGTCTTGAGAAAATGGAGAAAAACCCCAAAGTTCGGCCAAGAAAAATGGGGTAAAATGACCCCCGAATGAGTATATAGCATTTCGGGCATCACAAGCAGCGTGGGGCACTACCTGTGGCCCAATTTCCAGAACCTCAAAAATCCCAGGGCCAAGGCTAGCGCCCCACGCTACCCTGGGCACTGATGATGAGAAATCTTTTCTATTTTGCCCGGAAATGGGCATAACTCTCTTATACGATGTCCGAATTCGACGATTCTTTTTGCTACGGCTCTGTAATTTCAATACGGATCTAATGCTTCAATCAAAACTGAATTTAGAGCTCATTTTATTATTGTGATACCACATATACTCGAAGAAGTGACGTCAAAACATCCTAGAAATATCCAAAGTAAATTTCGGGCATACGCCCGAGTCCAAAATCACCATCCGGACCTAACGGAATTTATCAAAACTCCGATTCAATGTGGAATACAAAAGAAAACTCAAACATGATCATAAATCCCATGGGTCTCATTTAATACCAGAATACGTTATTCCCGAATATCGTTGCCGCACTTTAAAAATCTTAAATCATTAGAAAATTTTAACGGGGCCTTACAAATTCATTTGCGAAATTTTACGAGGTTTTACACTTAAGTACTTCGAAATTTTCTGAGGTGTTACAACTACACCGGAGAAAAAGGAGAGGAAAGATAAGGAGGTAAAAGGGAAGGGTGATAGAACTAGAAAGGAGCAATCCAATGTTCCGGTGACAATTAGCAACAAATTTGCTTTGTTAGAAGAAGGGGAGGCTGAAATCCAAAGACAAGTTAAAAAAGAAGTAGTAGAAAAAGTGTTAAAGAAGGATCTGGAAGAGGCAAAGAAGACTAATCCTAATCCTACTTCTACTGGGAAAAGTTCTCTGAAGAAGAATGGGGTGCAAAGTGAGGCAAAGAAAGTTCCTAATCCTAGTGTAACTGGGATTGAAGAGACAAATAAAAGGGAATCCACACTTGAATGGGTTCATAGAAGATTTGGCACGAGTAAGGAAGAGTTGAGAGAGATGAATGTAGTAGTGAATCACTCTTGTCATGATGTTCCATCACAAACATATGATGATTCTAAAGATATTGAGGAAAACAATGAGGTCAGGTCTGGTGGAGCTTTATGGAGTGATGAAGTTGAGATTATGGAGAATGAGGCATCTATAAATTTAAGTAATAGGAACAAGGAGGAAAGAGGCAACAAACAAGAGAAACATATAGCAGCTGCGAGCCCTATTTCAAGAGTAAACCCTAGTACTTCACTAACTAGGGTTGAGGCTGGGGAAGAAGCTAGACAATGTACAACCAATCCAACACCTAGGGTAGAACAAGGAACACATCTTGAAGCTAAATTTACTAGTGGATCAGTTGGTGATGCTTCAGCTAAGAAGATCACCAATGAAACAGTAAACCCTAAGGATTCAGTCCAGTTTTTGGGCTTCCCTCTCAACCTTATGTCTTTTATGATGTCCTGAGTTAACAGGATATTCTTCACAATACTTCTACTTTTAATAAAACTAGCTTGATTAGGGGAGATTAATGAAGGCAGTAGCTCTACTAACCTCTCATGGATCACTCTTGATATGATAGCTTTAGATGCCCTGTTTGACAATCCAGATTTCATAGGTTTTGGTATGCCAAAGTGGAGTCACAACATCAACTATCTATCATATGCAGATGATACAATCATTTTCTGTTCTTCTCACTATAGGATAGTACAACTTATCATGAATGTATTGGAGGAATATGAGGCAACTTCAGGTTAGAAGATCAATAAGGAAAAGTTGTCCCTTTATATGCATGAAGGTGCACCTGCAGATGAAGTTAACACTGTCCATTTGATCACTGAGTTTCAAAGAGACCCCTTCCCATTTACATATTTGGGATTCCCTATATTCTATAGCAGGAGGCAGAATTTTTTTTACAAGAACAGCATCCTCAAAGTTCAGGAGTGACTATCATCATGGAAAGGTAAGCTATTATCAATTGGGGGCTGGGCAATATTAATATCACATGTGTTGGAGAGCATGCCAATACACCTCTTGTCAGCTGTGAACCCACCAGTATATGTGATCAACCAATTGCACAAGATGTTTGTTAGATTATACTGGAGCAACTCAGGTAATGGAAGGGCAAGACATTGGGCTTCATGGGAGAATTTATGCCTACCTAAAAGTGAGGGGGGTCTTGGTTTTAGATCATTACATGATGTGTCAAAGGCATTGTTTGCAAAACTTTGGTGAAACTATAGAACAAAGGACTCACTAAGGTCTACATTTATGAGAAACAAGTACTGCAAGAACATCAATGAAGTAGTGGTACCATGGAGACATGGATCTCATGTATGGAGGAAAATGCTTCAAATGAGGGATGAGGTGGAGCATCGAGTGTGGTGGCAACCGAAGAGTGGAAACTCGTACTTCTGGTATGATAATTGGACTGGACTTGGAGCTTTTTATCATGCTTCAGGTCCAGACTATTGGAGTGATGAATCCATAAGATATGTTGATGAAGGGATGGAGAATGGGGTATGGAATGAAGTGCTTTTGATAGAACTACTCCCTAATGAACATGCTGATCATGTTTTGGAGAATATCACACCACCTTCTCATCACTCTATGAAGGATAAGCCTTGGTTGCAACTAGAAACCAAAGGTCAATTTACAGTGAAATGTGCATGGCATTACATAAGAAGGAGAAGGGAGGAAAGCAAATTGTATAAGTTATTTTGGGTGAAGGGGCTGCCTTTCAAGATCAACATCTTTATGTGGAGGTTTTGGAAAGCAAAACTACCTTTAGATGATTAGTTCCTAAGGCTTGGGTACTTTACAACTTCAAGATGTCGGTGTTGTAGGAACCCTAAAGAAGAGACATTGCCTCATGTCTTCTTGACATCTCCAGCTGCCAGACTTGTGTGGAACTAATTTGGTGCACCTACAATGATCAAAATAGAAGGGAGGCAGCTTGTACGAGTGATAAATAAATTGTGGAGCAAACCTACTAATAAAAGTTTAAAGGCGGTGTATCAAGCTGTGCTTAGTCTGATTGGTTGGCACCTATGGAAGAAGAGGAATTCAGGAAAGCTTGGAAAGAATGTGTCGATTAATAGGTTGATCTTTCAAATATCAACCTCAATACAAATGTGACTGAAGGTGGGAAGGCCATGTTTCCAGGGTATTAATCCTAACTGGCCGGATCTACGTGAGAAGTTGGTACATCATGTCCCTAGATTGAGGTATACTAAGGTGTTGTGGAAATTGCCTCCTGATGGTTGGATTAAATGTAATACTGATGGGGCCAGTAGAGGGGATAATGGAGGAGCTTCATATGGTTTTGCATAAGAGGTGGAATAGGAGATCTTCTTTATGCCCAGGAAGATGCAGTTGAAGATGCAACTAATAACATATCTGAAGCATAGGCTATTCTTAAAGCTCTCAGGTACATAATTCATATGCAATTTACTCCATACATAATTTAGACTGAATCTTTACACATGAAGAAAGTGCTAGAGGAAGTGTGGGAACCACCTTTGAACATAGCTAATCAAATTGATGAAATCAAAACTATACTATCTAGGGGTGTATTCCAAGTAGTTCATGTATTGAGGGAAGGCAACAAGTTAGCTGATCATTTAGCTAACTGGATATTGGATCAATAAGCCATTATACAGGTGCACTCCTTTTGGGAATTGGACACACAACGGAGAAAGATTCTGAACAATGACAAGCTCCAAATACCTTACCTTAGCGTAAGGACTGCCAAGACAAAGGAGTAATGTTGATGGATATGAAATCAAGGAGAAGATTTCTGATTGGAAAGGGAAGAAGGAGAAGGTATGCTGGAGGAATGGGGCAATCTATAAGGGAAGCAAATGACATTACACCTCTAACTCAAATCCTTAGGGAGGAGAGAAGGAAGAAGTTTTTCTCTGACATGTTTTTTGATTTTGCAGGTACTTTTGAGGAGGCTTGGCTTTATGTTGTTGCCAAACCTATTAGGGTGGTATTAGTATCTTTGATACTCATTCCCTATAGGTGCAACCACTACATAGAAAAGAAAAGGATGCACTTAAGCGTTAACTATTAGATCCATATACATGTCAAGAATGGATGAAACAGGGTGTACTACAATTTAAAAAAAATGCAAATTCCCTTGAATCTGCTACTTCATGAGGATCACACAAAGTAATTCTAGCAGAGCACATCAAGCTACAATGACCAGATACATGCGCAAGTACTTTTCCCAGATCAGATATGACTACCCATGAGACTTCTCATCTTTATGCGGATCTGTTTAGCAATAGGTGTAGGAGCTACTAGTTACAATGGACATCTACCACAAATGAGGAAGCTACCTACAGTAGGTTCGCATCAAGAAGGGTCTGGTATGAACGCGTAACAAGGAACCAAAGGCGCAACAACACCACTGCTGCCTTGACCTGGATTTGCATCTTGGAATGTTTTGAGTGTAATCTGCTTACAAGGCAGTCCTTGTCAAGCTTATATTCCAGTCAAAAAGATCAGGTGGAGTTGCCTAAAGCTCAAAATAACATGTGTAAATGCCCAGAATCAAATGCAATGAGAGGCTGCTATTCAATAATTTTTTCCGAGTCATGTGCAAATAGGCTTGCTCAAGGATCATGGTTCTTAGTTCTTTTTGTACTATCAAAGGAGTACTTTACATATGGCTTTGATATTAGGATTCATGTATTTTTATTTTTTATGCACTTTCAATTTTTGAGACCTCCATATAATATTTTTTAATTTGATTATTAACAAAATCACCACTAGGCAACCAGTCTAGTGGTATATTTGTATAAATAAGGAATTAATGGAGAATCCAACTAGATTGATTGAACATCTGGTGATTCAAAATCAGCCATAAAATTTGCCACAACACTGGCAACCTCTACCGCCACCACCACAACCACCAAGACACAACATACCGGAAACCTCCACTGCCACCACCACAACCACGTCGAGATCTACCAATTCAACCATGTAGAGCAAGACATATTGAGCAAGCGAAAGAAGTTATAGCTGACCAAGGCATAAAAGTACCAAGGCACCATTCCCAGTATGATAAATATTCATAAAATCAAGGGAATGAAGTAGACAAAACTGATGAAGACCAATATCAAAGAGACAATGAACATGCATTGCTCCACAAGATAAGGATTTACAACGAAAGACTTATGACGATCTATTGGAGTATCCAACGATATGTGTCATTGACTTTCCGCCTTTCGTAGATGCTCAACACAATTTTGATTTGGCTGTTGACTCTACCATTCCAAACAAGGCATCATATAACGTTTATCCTAAAGTTCATAAAAATATGCATGAAGGATAGCAAGGATTACCTAAAAATGAGTGGATAATGGAGAGTTTGAGGTATATTGGAGAAACAAGATGTCTTCACCTTGTAAATATATATATGGCCATCATCAAAGTGACTGTTGGTGTAAGTGATTGTAGGTGTACAAGCATAGTAATTATAGCAATTAGACTGAGCTAAAATCTAAAACATGGGACAGATCACAGTGATACTTCCGGAGCATGAAAACATGGAATAGCAGATGAAATTCAGATAGACTAGGTGGTAACGCAAGCTTGTAGGCCGCCTCTCCCACTCTCTGAAGGATCTCAAAAGGTCTGATATACCTAGGGCTCAACTTGCCCTTATTCGCGAACCTCATCATACCCTTCTTGGGTGAAATACGGAGCAAGACTCGCCATCTGTCTGGGTTGTACGATTCGCATAACCTTCCGATCCGTATAACTCTTCTATCTGTACGAAGCCAATCCTGGATCAACTTGACCTTCTCCAAGGCATCTCAAACCAAATTCGTGCCTAATAACCCAGCCTTCCCCGCCTGAAACCAACCAAATGGAGAACGACATCGTCTCCCATATAGGGCCTTATAAGGAGACATATGAATACTCGATTGGTATCTGTTATTATAGGCAAACTCTGCAAGTGGAAAGAACTAATCCCAAGAACCCCCGAACTCCATAACATAAGAACGAAACATATCCTCCAATATCTGAATGGTGCGCTCGGACTATGTGTCTGTCTGGGGGTAGAATGTTGTACTCAACTCAAACTGTGTGCCTAACACATGTTGTACGGCTCTCCAAAAGTGCGATGTAAAATGTGTGCTGAGGTCAGAGATGATTGATATCAGCACGTTATGAAGTCAGACAATCTCGCGGATATAAACCTGAGCTAGCTGCTCTGAAGAATAGGTAGTCACCACCGGAATGAAATCAGCCGACTTGGTTAACCTATACATAATCATCCATACAACGTCAAATTTCTTCTGAGTCTGTGGGAGTCCAACAAAAAAGTCCATGGAAACTCGATCCCATTTCCACTCGGCGATCTCAAGTCTCTGAAGCAAACCTCCTGGCCTCTGGTGCTCATACTTCACCTGCTGACAATTTAGGCACCGAGCTACATACTCCGCTATGTC